TGTACAACTCATAATTTTTTAAATCTAAATTTTTCTTAATATATAGAAAATATTTAGAATATCTTTTTTATAATGTATGACGATATATTAACACGGGTATATCTAATATATTTTCATAATTTGTGTATTTATTATCCAATTACAAGTTAAATTGTATAAATAATTTTAAGCATTACTCTACACATCAATTTCATTGATATCAAAATATATATTTAACTGTGTCGATCACTTTTATTGTTGAAGTTTTATGGTCAAATTCTCATAAAAAAGCGCTTACGCCAAGGTGAATTCCTATATGAAAGATATAAGATTTAGATATTCATAACATTTTTATCGAAAATATTTCACACAGTTAAACAAGAAATATAAATTAAGAATCGGAAAAAATTTTAACTAAGTAGCTAGAAAATTGATTAATTAATACTTTACTGCTTCTCATCGTTATTAATATACTTTACTAGAAAAAATTATTGTAATTTTTCCAATAAACTAATCATAATAATCCTATTTGTATAATATATATGTACCCGTATGAATATATGTATGTATGCATGTATGTATGTATGCATGGGTAAGAAACTACATACTCTGTAAACGGAATTACGTCAATGAAATTCTACACAGTTAAGTATTTCACAGTGACTTGTTATTTACAAAATTTCAAATTATTTATCTTTTGAGAAATTTATAATTTAAATTATCATGTTTATTGAGGCCGCTATTAACATATAACTATTTTCCAGCTCTACACTCTTTGAAAATTTTAATATAATATGACTTACTAGAATTTTCATCTTTAATAAATCCAACAATGTATTAGAATGGTTCAAAGATATGGTATTTTTAATTAAATTGTAACTATATTTATTAAATTTATATAATTAATATATGTTAAGACAAATGAGTTTAATATTTGTTTAAATATTTTATAATATTGTATATTGAATATTTTTAATATTGAAAACTGATTAAAAATAAACGTATTATGTAAAATTTGTTGTGTAACCATTTCTAATATACATGATTTAAACATTTTATTTTCGCTAATTTCGTTATTTCAACATTTAAAATAAACATTTTATATACAAAGATTTTATTTTTTCAATGTATAATAAATTTATTTGTTTTTCATGACATTTTTTTTTTTCGTCACAATCCATTTTTTCTGTTTTTGATGAAATTTCATAATTTTATATTTGACTGTTTAATTATTTTTCGAATTAGAAAATAAAGCCCATTAACCACTATTAATTATATTTTTTCTATATTTCTAATGAGTAATTTTATATAATATCATATATAAATGAATAATATCATATAATATTATCGTTTTTACTTCTACAGAGTGATAGATGACAAGTACATTCAATATTGTCATAGATTTATAAATAACTAATTAATTTATTAAGGGTAACATTAATGATACAATTATGTATTAAATGTTATGTATTAAATCACTAATATTTAAAATATTAGTATTTAATGATATATGTTATTTAAATCATAAAAAAATATTTCAAATATTTCAATTTTTATTTCTTATTTTACCAAATGTAAACAAAATTTTAATTAACATAATGTAATACTATAAAAAAAATGTATTTAATTTGAAAGAAATCGTTATTTTAAATAACATTTTTTTCTTAATTAACCGAATAACTTTGATAATTCGACCTTAGCGAAATTGAAAGTACTTGACAGATATAGTATCACACACACACACACACACACACACACACACATATATATATATATATACATATGGATATATAACGTAATGTAAGTGTTTGATTTTGCAATATGATACGAGCACGATCGGATGAAATACTTGATAGTGAGATAATTATTTTTATTAGAGATGAAACTTTTTAAAATCAATGTTGATAAAATTTTTACAACTATTAAAAGTATAAGAAATCTTTAAAGCCTCATAAATTTTATCTTAGAAAAAAAAAGATTAAAATACAGAAAATTAGTTTTCAAATATGTAAATGAATATATCAAACAAATAATTGAAATTTCTTATATATATAAATTTAGAATTTAGAATTTTATTATAATGATTTTTACAACAAAATAGAGTACTTTTATATAGTACTAATATTTTAATTTGTTATCCACACAAATAAATGAGATAATAAAATAATAATATAATCCTTTTATATAATCAGGAAAAAATTAATATGTTTTAATAGAAATCGAGATTGAGAATAAAATTTATTTTATTGTATTATATATTATTAAAACTTGTTGAGAATAACATCAAGTTTATAGTAGATTTTATTATGATTATCATATATTTCTTATGATGATTTTTATTATTAGATTTATTATGATGACAAATTTATTATGATATTAAACACAATGTGTGTAAGCATTTTTTATGATAAATATGGTCCAAAATTTAAGCATACATATATACATATATACATATATATATATATATATTTATAGATCATTAAGTTGCTTATATTATAATTAGACAACGAATGAAAAATTTAAATTCTCACATACATGCGCGCATAGCACACATACGTATGGATATATACATAAATATAACTAGATAGATATATGGAAAATAAATATATGTTATTGCGACAACTTCTTGGCCTTTTGTTTATTTCCATAATTAAGCACATCTAATATACGCAACCGTATTTTCAAAAGTAAAATTCTCTAATAATAAATAATTAGATGTTTTAGTAGATCAAAAAAATCAATAAGACTTTATTTATACGCGTAATAATATGCTAAGAAAGTAAGCTTAACTTATGTCTGTCGATTACACACAAAAATCTCTTTCGAAGTATCGATTCGTTCAATCTCAGACAAAAATGTGACATTTTTTCATCTTCTGTATTGCTTTTTTTCTCTAGCCTCCTTTATTTTTTATTGCCCGTAAATGAGATCCGTATTTTATTCTTTATCCTCTTTGTCAACTTGAAATTTCATTCTACTTTATTCTGTCTGGAAGAAAGATATTCGCTCCTTAGAATTGTTTACTTGAATAAGTATTTTGTATAAAACTTTATATATAGCATTTATAAGCTTACACTAGTAATAATTAAAATTAGAATTATTTATTATTATACTATTAAAATGTTCAGAATTAGATTTATTTTAATTAAAAGTACAATGAGAATACGTAAGACATTCATTTGTTGCTGCAACTATTACGACTTCTATAGGGCGATTTAATTAATCAAATAACTAAGGAATTTAATTAATAATAAAAGGAAAGACTATTGATTATATCTTCTTTTCGATGTTTATATAAAATCTGATCCTTATGTTCATTTAAACGAATGTTTTAGTCAAAATAGAGGCTACATTTTTTCCCCGTTGAATAATATTTTCTCCATCCATTAATATTAAAGTGATAACAACATACATTCTATATTACTATGATTATCATTATTTTTCAAATATCATCAGTATTGATATAGAAGAGAAATTGTTCAAAAACATATACTTTGTTTTAAAGATTATTTAAAGTAATTTTAATTTATTTATTTATTTAATGGCATTGTTTTTATTATTACATATTTTAAAGCAATTTCTATAATTATGTCATCACATTATATAAATACTATTACCAATATAAGTAAAGTAATGTTGAAATATATATTAATTTACAAACGTATAAAATATTTTTATTTTATTTATGTGCTTTTTTTAAATGACAAATAATCGTTCAATTTTCTCGTGCACAAAACTTCTAATCGATGAAGGTACGCAGAAGCTGCCGATACTATAAATAAAGTTATTTCAAATTACATAAGCATCGCGTACATAAATTGGATGCACAACTATAAAAGCCCTCGTACTGCTAAAAACTCCATAATTTAGAAAATTGAACGTTATCATTTCTATTCCAGGTTTAATTTAGTTAATATAATTATGGTATTACGAATATCCATAAATTTGCATCAAAAGAGGTATTTTCTTAAATTATACGCGTTTATAAATTTACGATCAATACGTTAATGCATGCATTAACTATCGATACTAAATATTCTCTCAGCTAAGGTAAAATTAAAGACGAAATGTTTTATTAAAGTAATAAATTCAATTTCTATATTTTATTTATATGTGTTTTTGGTTAATAATTACGATTTGTGTTATATTATACGTATTGATTATGTAATTTGAAAATTAAAAAATTAAAAAATTTTAAAAATTAAGGAATATATTATGTAATTCATAATAATTAGTGAATAAAATAAAAATTTAACATTAAAATAAAAATTGAATTAGCAGAAAAAAAGTAAAGAAAAAGTTCCCTATCTTATTGACTAGAAAAATGAAGTTTAATTATACATGGAAATATTTAAAAAGATTTAAAAAATTATTACATGTAGAAATATAAAATAAAGTTCTCTAAGTTAGTTATCATTATTCTGTTAGTTATCATTAATTTCAGAAAGATCAATTTTTTATGGAATATGTATTAATGAAAGTCCTATTTACTTAAAAAAAAAAAAAAAAAAAAAAAATTATTTTAAGAGAATTAATTAGTATATATATATATATAGATATATAGTCTTTTACATTTGCGTCAACATTAATAAGTAAGGTATTGAGAAAAATATTGAAACTTACATGCCATTTGAAAATATATCAATTACAATATACGATACAATAGAAGATTTAAAAATCGACCTTATTGTAAAAAAAAAAAAAAAACAATAATAAAAAAACTAAGACCTAATGCATAATATATTAAAAATAAAAATCCTCTGAAATACATAAGCGCAGTTACCGCAATCAAATATGAAGCAATTATTGCGCAAAATTCTATAGTCGGCAAATATAAGAAGCTTTGAAAAAGTTACATGTAGAATCGTTCCTAGCAAATTAAATCCGACGGATATTCTGCAAACTAGCCGTAGTGATACGACTAGTGAACAAATTTGTTATTTGGACCTCAAATAGTCAATCGCTTGCATGTTCACAGAAGGGGTGATGGAGCCGAGGATGTGAGTCCGGGTAGTGACCCGTGAGTGAAAAAAAACTTCAACTCGCGCGAAAAAGGAGGCCGATGGGCGGAGGAGGGAGTCCAAGCATGGACCCCCACGGGCCCGAGATCGTCGCCATCCTGGGCGCCATAGGGGCGACGGCGGGCGCCGTATCGGCCGTCGTGGTTTACGCACTATGTGCGCGACGACGGCGTGTTCACCTCAACTGGTACGTCCTGACATCAAGGCTCACAGCTTAGAAATAACAATACGACGCCCTTAAATCAATTTTATCTACTTTCCTCTCCGATAAGTTTAGCTCTCCGATAGATGAACGGAGCTTGATTCCATCCACTTCTCGTCCCACACAGTGCAAAGTGATTGAGTTTCTTAAAAGCATGCATTAAAGATTAAGTAGCTCTGTTGAATAATAAAAGACAGCGTTAAGCTAAGCGAATGAAAATAATGTGACAGGGGGAAATACGAGTGCAATGAATATTAACGTTAAACACAAGCAAAATAAATACTTTAACTACTTTGTAATTAGATTCTGGTGATTTACAATTTTTATGTAAACTCCTGATTACAATGAACGGCAAGAAAAATTAAGGCTTTGCTTATATTTACATTTTCTTCCAACGATTCTACGAAATTCAATTAATCCTGGGTTACCAATGTGATCCTGAAATAAATATAAAAAACTCTCCTTTGACTATTAATTTAAATATCCGAAGAAATGGCTTTATAATATATAAATACAAAATTTTAAATTTTCACGATGTCATAAAAATGTAAGTGTCGTCTTACTTTTAATGTGGATCATATTTTATTCGATTTTAATATTTTTTCATTGTGGCATAAAAATGCTTCGTATGAGTATGAATATTTAAGTAGGTAAAATAATTAATATTAAATTCAGCCTTTTTCTAAATATAAGCTGAAAAAATTTTAAAATATTGTATATATCATTGTTAATACAAAATTTTATTTTAATAAAAATTAATTTTAATAAAATATTAAAAGTTGTAAGCACTCTTTTACGATATTCCATTCAATTTAAACATGAAAAGAATTTAATGTAAAATTGTTTCAGAATCATACGATTTAATTAAAAAATATTAAAGCTTCTGTATAATAATTTATTATTTATTATTTATAACTCAATCTTTATTAATTATAAGTTAGTTATATTTTACTTACACTTTTTATTATCGATAATAATTACCTCTAAAAATCATATAACCTAAACCTTGTTTATTTATCTTTTATTTTTCCGTATGATAAATTATAGTGTTGAAATATATATAAAGACAAAATACATATTCGATTATTGTAATAATTTAGGTTATTACAATAATATATTATTACAATTATAATAAAGCGATGAATTATGATGATGAGAATAATACAATATTAAAATAGTAACAATTTCAAAAATAGATTAAAAAATATTCGTAATTTTATTATAATTTTTATTACAAATTTTATCTCGTAAATAAAGGAAATTTATTACATTTTTTTCACTCAAAAATATTTTTCTAAAAAATTAAAAAATTGTATTTATCGAATAAATATATTTTCTTGTCTCTCTCTCTAACTTTTTTATCTTCATCAATTACAGCTGTTGCGCTTTTTTAGACAACTTAAAATGATAATGTTGAATAACGATAAATATTAGTATTTTGCATGAATAATGAATTTGAAACAATTTTTGCTTGATGAACTTGTCAAAAGTAATAAATGTTTTAAAAAATAATTTCAAATTTATGAGTAAAATAATCAAGAAAAACGGCAGCTGCGTTTTATGGATCAAATATATTCCGAGTTTAAGTAATCTTGTATTACTGAATAATACTTTATTGATGAAATAATAATTAATTAGTTAAATATATCCTGAGTTTAAATAATCTTGTATTACTGAATAATAATCCGTATGATATATATATATATATATTATATCACAGTCAATTCATCTCAGAGATATTAAAATAATTTTCAATTTAAAACGATATATCTACTAGCTATTTATTTGATTTCTAATTACTAGTTAAATTGCAATATTTATTCGTTACAGTACTCAATATAAATATGAACATACACATTTATTATCAAGTTTGAAGAAAATATATTTTGCGCTAACGTATCACTCTGGCAATACAATGAAATTATTATATATTTAAATATTTCGCAATAATTATTTTCAGTATTTCAGCATATTAATACGAGTAAAACCTTTTTTCAAGCATATTTTTTATTGCTAGTAAGGTAAACAAATACATTGAAGTTAATAAAAAGAACATGGAGAAGCAAACATCATGGAATCGTGAAATAGAACTTAAAATTTAATTCTCATATGAAACTATTTAATTATCTGTAAAGGAATAAATCGTAGTAAAAATTTTATATAATTACGTATGTTTAGATTTTTGAAGTGAAATACAAATAAACGTGCTTTCTGAGATGACATGAACGCGTAATTATTAAAAATAATAATACTTGAGAACATTAATGGCATTGCAGTTTGTATAAACATTAATTCTTCTGGCCATTTCATTGTAGCTTTAGTGTTAAATAATTTACTTCAATAAATTCGACATTATTCTCTAAATGTCATAAAGGCAGATTTAATTTATATTAAATAATCGGGATAAAAGTCATTCGGTAAACAAGTTGTTTTGTCAGCGAGAAAAATATTAGATTTTAATTTAAATATACTTTTTCCCAATTACAATGATTCAATTCAGTGGCGCCATTACAACAATCAACCTGATATTATTCTTTAAATATCTGCAATTGAGATATTACTTCTTTCAAATTTCTATCTAATACAGAAGCTGAATTGACAAAAACAGTTAAGGTTTGAGTCAGATAATAATTTTATCCTCTCCAGTAGCTTTTTTCTAATTCCTCTCGCACGTTTTCACATGCATTAAAGGCACGACGTATCGCACGTGTAATTAAGTCTTTTGAATTCATGTTCGTAGGTTTGAAAGAGACCTTCTGGACAGAGCCGAGGAAGCGGAAAAATCACTAAGGGGGCTGACCAACCTGCAGCCTAATATCGGCATCCTAGGAAAACAATCTAGTGGCAGCGATGATTGGCAGTTGCCTCGGGATGGTATTTTCAATAACCGCGTGATCGAGACACGCGAAGGTAAGCGACGCCGACGGCACTGATTTTTCCTCAAAGTGGATTCAACTTAGCTCACTTTCTTTGTATAAATTGCCTCCGTTTAATGTTTTTCATCGATGACCAGGGACCAAAAGCTTGCAAGCTTCTTGTATCGATAAAATTGTATCGATAAATAAAAGAATATGACATTTGTCAAAATTTAAAACCTTAATAACTTACGATATGAGCATAAATGGAAGTTTTAATTAATGATAACAAAATTTTCATTTCACACAGTGTTATTATTTATTATTCATTTATCAACATTACGTTAATATCGAATGAAATTGATGATGAAGTATCATTCGTATTGTATTCATATATCCCTGAATCATCGATAGTTGGAAATTTATGAGAAGGATACACGTGACAAAGTACATTAATATTAAGAACAATTGCATCTTACATTCGACAGAAAATAGAGAAAAATTTGATGACCATAAATTGTATTGTTCATACGATTATTATAAACTAGTTTTTAGTGTATATTTATAAGTTACAAAAAAAAAAAAAAAAAAAAGATCTTTCTGATAAAACTTTTCCGATTAAAAAAACTTGATGAAATGTCTGATAGGTTTGAGTATGAATATAAACAGTGCTTATATTCATCAATATTTATCTACATTATATAACTTTTTATTTAAATCATATTCTCTTATGGTATTTTTGTGTTATACTTTATTGTAAATAAATTTAAAAGAAATTTAAAGCTAATTTCATATCCTAATATCAAATAAAATTTTTTAATTTTGTAATTATTATAAATATTCGTGAAATTATTATTTGAATTATCCAACATAAAGTACAAATTACAACTATATTAATAATGAATAATAAATACAATTATGTATATTATTGATATAAAAGCTTTTATATATACGAGGCTCTATTATTATCGGATACTTCATTAAAGTTTTAACAATTAACTATATAAAATTATTATACGTTTGTTTAATCCTGTGAACAAGATAAGAAATTTCTTACATGTAATTTTAATATACATAAAATTTTTGTTATATGGATAGAAAATCTGATAATTAACAATATATTCTGTACTAACGATTAATAATGTAAAAACTTTTAAATCCACGAGATGACATAATTACAAAAAACGTAAAAACAGCCGCTTTAATATAGATTTTAAAATATAAAAGTTTACAATTTAGTATGGGTGGTAGTATGTTACATAACTAACAAACTAAGATATAATATTTCTCTATTGTTTTTCAATTAAAATATTATATTATGCAGTTACGATATTTGTTATAAAATTTACAGCCGCCTATAATATAATATACATTAGCGTTTGCAATATTAAAAATTCTGAACCGAAAGTTACGATTTGAAAACTTTCTCATGAGAAAACTTTTTATAACATCTTTATTTGCAGAGTGTGTTATTCTAAAATAATCTATCGTAGATTGCTAAATGTTATTTTTATGATAGAAATGATTTTTACAAAAGTTTTTAAATATTAGCAATTTACGTCGATTAAGCACAAATTGTAAATTAAATTTTTAAATACTTTTTTATACTTTTTTTTTTTTTTTTTTTTTTTTTTTTTTTTTTTTAGTATAATATGCAACTGATATAACTATATACTCTAAAAAGCCTGAAGCATCTCACTCTTAATTTAAATCCGCTGATATGTTTTTGAATACACAACTATTTAAGCTATTTTATATACAAAAAATTATAACTAAATTTTTTTATATACTACAACTAATATTAATTTGTATCTTAAATACATGTGTGTAGGAAACATGAGGAAGATAATTTTAACATTTTACTTAATGAAATAAAAACATTTAGCTCTTACCATACTCATACTGAGCATTTATAATTTTGTAGTAATAAACTTTATGTTTTGAATAAACTTTAAGATTTGAAATTAAAAAAAAAAAATTCACTTTCATTTATTGTAGTAAATATTGTTTATATATCTCTTTACAATTTTTGTCTTTTTATTTAACCCGTTGATTGAACTGCGAGAGTGAATTATTGATTTAGATTCATCGAATTTTTAATATCATTAGCTGCATCATTGACAATCATACGTCAAATAATTTTATTTAAGAATTGAAAATAATATAAAAAAATTTAATATTTTTATTGCTCTTGGTAAAAATGAATGGAGTACTATTAATTATAGGAGTTGGAAAAAGAATGACATCTATAATTGAAGTTGAACCAATAGGAAATAATTATTTTGTATTGTAAAAGTGACTGGTGGTAAATTGAATAAAAAATGGTTTACCAATTATTTTGATATAATTTTATATTACATCTACGCGTTCGTGTGATTGTGTTAGAAACTTTTAAAATTTAATTAAATTGTTAATCCCACGTTGGTGTTATTTGAGAGTTTTTTGTAATTTACAAATAACGAAAATAAGAAAACTTTTTAAATTATTTCCTTGTAAGATACAAACCTTGAACAGAAATTTATATTTTTAATATCATTTTCAAACTAAATTATTCTGAAAATAATATTAACATTAATGCGAAACATGAAAATTATCCTTGTTTTAAAGGTTCGAGAAAAACCAAGGATAAAAATGTAATTTACATACGTTTTATTGCATATCAATCAGCAGAACTGAAAATTATGCTGATTAAAAAAGTGATATAATAGAATACGATTATTGTCAGTTTCACATGAGTTACGTATTAAATTATTACATTGAAGAAGAGCGCAACGATATTAATAATTAATGAATCAATTTTAAACAATTAACTATTGCTATTTATATGTTATATAAATATATAACGTTATAAAGAGTATTTATTTTTTAATGTCTTGACAATATCTAGTAGTTTTGTCCCATTGAAATAATATGAGTTTGATTTCAAAATAATGGTAGATCTACGTTTGTCAATGACTACGGTCCAATGCAATTGTATCGGCCAGGCTATTGCATAATCACGGGATTTTCATAAGTGATTTAATATCTTTGTCAGCTTATAAAAGACGACCTAACAATATTTTAGCGATTCCTTGGTAATAAATAATTATGAATCAGAGATAATATCGAAATTTATAATCGGCTTTAAAAATTGATTTTCAACATTGTCGAGGGTATCATAGTTGCGGGCCTTAAGAGACGTCGTTACTAGTATGATTAATCGAGTCCGCAACGTCAAGAAAGTTAAATAACAAAATTAACAAAATTGTTATATCAAACAGCTCCAATAAAATATCTGTTTTCCCTTCCTTGTTTCTTGGGTTCGGTGGACGCCAAGTTCCCCGATAAGAACATGTCAGGTGAATGCGCACGTGTCTCGCTAAAACGTAACGATCTAGAGATCATTCGAACCATTAATAACATTTAAAAATGTCGGATATAAGCGCGTTAGCACTTATACACCCGATCGTCTCGCTGCTCGTTGAAACTCCCAGATGTCACACCCTCTGCTCATCTATTCGCAGTTGGCCGCCACCTCTCCGAGTGCAGCTGCGACGAGGCGACGACGTCGTCGATGAGTCCCCTGGCGCCCCCATTGCCGAGCGGCGGCGCCCTTGTGGCCAGCGACGAGCGCATGGTGATTCTGCGGAGTCTACCGCGCGCCTCCTATAGCGGCTCGGACACGAGCTCCCAGGCGCGGCTCAGCAGCACCGACAGTGACGACCTCTCCTGTCCGAGATCGGCCAATGAGACCCGAGGCGAACTCCAGCTCGGCATCACTCATGACGCGCCTGCGGGTCTCCTCACCGTCAGGCTCGTCCAGGTACGACCGCGAATCCCAATCTTACGCTTACTCGCGCCAGGTATAACGTATGCTTTTTCAGCGAGTCTGACAGTTTTGCCGAGGACTATTTTTATTATTTAAAGGAGTCAAAGATGTCGTAAAACATACGCGAAAATGTAATTAAATTTCGATAAAGTGCATTAATTTTGTAGACTAATAATGCCTTTGTCAAAGGCTTGAACCCCAGACGAAATGTTAACTGTTAGAGTAATGTAATTAGTAAGCAAATCACGCTAAAATATCATTGCATTCTGAGCAAACTTTTTAATCAAATTGTTCAACGTCTTTAATATAATATATGTTTTTTCTTTGTTAAAAGTATACGTCTATTAGTTAATTATTTATTGAATATTTCATTAATTTTGAGTTTCTTTCCAACTTTATTGTAATTGTTTTGTTTTGTTTTTCTTGTTGCTTGAAAGGAAAATGATAAATCTTTATATAATACGGACAATTTAATTGAACGGTGAATTGTCCATTTGAGAAGATATCTTACATCGTTACACGATCTTCGTTCGATATAATTTAAGGAACGGAACGTTTGTTAATATAAATTTGATTTGTTAAAGACCCGAGAGCTATGATATTATATTATTAAGCACTTGCTATAAAAAAGTCTCTTGCTCCATGGAAAAAATAAGACAAACCGTGTAAGAAAAGCTTTAAACCATATGCTTGAACTATTATTAAATGTTCTTTCTTAAGCTTTAAATATTTTAATCAATGGCTATTATAATTATACTTTTCTAAATAGTTGAGGCGTAAATTAGAGTACAGAGGACTATTATTGCATATTTTAATGTCATATTTCAAAAATATTTTAAACGTTTAACTCAATGTAATTTATCATTTTAATAATAAAAGTGTAAAATTAGAAGCAAACTTTAATTTGAATTCTTACATTAACCATTAATTAGAGATTTTACGTGCGAACAATTATTGTTAAATAAAACAAACTATTCATCGTCAAATATATGCAGAATGTGCTACCGTATTAGAAGTAGAAAGAATCTTCCTATTAGATTTGAAATGAAAATTTTCAATTTCTATTTTCTTATAGTATTCTTATTTTAAGTATACATAGAGCTTATATAATATAAAGAGACATGAAGCAAATGCGTAGAACATTTTCAAGTAAATGAGTTTCATCATAAGTGGCTTTACAGAAAATGGCGCACCAAGCATAGATCTCGAGTTGTTTTTAAAATAAAACTTAAAGATTCATGTAGAAATATAGAATGAAATCAGGATTTAATGACATGGCAGAATAATATGTTGTATTTGACAGTTGTAAAATATTGCTCGCTCCCGTATTTCTTTAACAATCGAAAGTTATAAAAATATACAATCAGATATGTTTATAAAATTATATCTTTATATACCTTATTCTTGTTGAAAAAGAAGGAAAAGATAATAAACATGATACATAAATTCGATATAATAAATAAAAATCATAAATTTAGTAGTTAAATGATAATGCGAATTTTATAAATTATGACACTAATGGTTGAAAGTACTTTCATCGATAATCTTATTTAAACGTTGCACGTTCGTAAAATACATGAACTTTCCTAAATAATTAAATAATTGCCAAGTTATTTTAAATTATAATCTTGCTGTAACAATGACAGTCAAACATTCGCTTGATTAAGCATACTCTTTCATATTCCTACATTTTCGCATATCCGTTCATTGATTTTTAGCATATTTTATATATAGTTTATATTAGTCTGAAATACTTTTTACAGGCACGCGACCTTCGCGCACGCGATCTGAGCGAAACTGCTGATCCGTATGCTAAAATACGCCTCCTCCCAGATCGCAGTACAGTTAAGCAAACACGAATACACAAACAAACTTTAAATCCAGGTAAGAAGTTGGATAGTTTGGATAAGCGCTTTTTCACCCCTCAGAGCTTACGTCATTTGCAACTTCGCAATTGCATTCTGGACCAATATAACTAATATATATGTAGCGATATACGAGAATAAGGACTTTTTTCACCGAAAAATTAATGTACCGCTGGGTACCTTATATCTAAATGAAATCTGTCACTTGGATGAAATATTCATCACTTATATCATTAATGATCTCTGGAATTCTTACTCTATTCGCGAGCTTGAAAAACTTGTGAAAACTACAGGGGTATTTAAAAGCTCAAGGATAATTCATAAATTCCTTAAAACTTCATTAATATTATAATACAATTGAATAAGTCGCTCCAAGTCCTGCGCCATTCAATAGCATTGACGTAAAAGTACAACTCGCCTTCAATCGCTTTAAGAAAATTAAATCAAATGAGCGTTCTCATTATCAATGACTGCCGGTGAAACATTGCCTTAAATACCACTAATCGCCAAGCCTAAACAATAAAATCTTCCATTTTACAGAATTTGACGAAGAGTTTATCTTCCAAGTACCTTCCACTTGTTTGCTAACCGAGCGTACCCTGGAGATTTTATTGTATGACTTTGACGCCTCGACGAAGCATCGAGGTCTAGGATACGTACAAATTCCGTTATCCACAGTTACTGATCTCGGACTCGAGCAGAGAATCGTTACAAAGTCCGTTCTTCGTTATGGAGCCGAGGGACGATTCAAGGCGCCGCCACTTGGTGAATTAATGGTTTCGCTTTCTTATCAGCCGACAGCTGAAAGGCTTACCGTCATTGTCATAAGAGCTAGAAATTTGCCGATCAATGATGATTACGGGACAACAGTATTTAAACCCTACGTTCAGGTATATTAATAAATAACGAAAATTTAACTATTTTAAATTTTAAATGTTACGCGCACTTTGAACAGAGAATATTATAATTAGCAATTGTAATCCGAGTGTTAAATTAGTGTAGGAAATCGTTTCGATTTTGGATGTAACAAAGTAAGTGTATGGGTCTACGTAAAAGTGAAATTAATACTAGGGAATACTTCATTTACTGATTCTTCTCAGAAATTAATAAAGCAAGGAATGTTAGAAATCAAAAAATTGGCTATTGCGATTATAGTTGAAATAATTAAAAATTATTTATGAATGAAAGATTGAATAATAACGGCCTACTTTACTTTAACCACTAATTGAAATCATTCGTATTTGCATTTAGGCTTTCGTTATAAGCAATATAATGTCAGAATTCGATAAAATTTACTCGAAGCCTAATAAAAATCCTAATTATAGTGCACGTTTTAATTAATTTATTAACTAATGGCAAAAGTGGACAGGCTCCAATTAAGACGCTCACTCGATCGGACTTATGTTACAGGTAAACATCAGTCGAGATAACAAGAGCCTGAAGAAGAAGAAGACGAGCATTCGCCGCGAAGGTACCAGTCCGATCTGGAGCGAGAGCCTGAACTTCGACCTCTCGTCCGACGTCCTCGCCCTCTGCAGCATCGACTTTTCCATATTTATGGGGAACGGTGAGCTGTTGGCTCACTGTGAGGTCTCGGAGATGCGCCAGCGGGAGCTCTTCCATCGCGTACTAGCCGGTGCCGGTGCCTCCGCTCAATGGTTGCCACTTTCCGAGCCCGACAGGTTCTCTGGCGAAATACCAGAGCAACCCAAATCCGCTTAAGATTCCGTTTGTCCGTAGTTAGAAGGGCAAAGCCTTTTGTCACGGCTGGGGAAATCAATTTCATTCGCTGCTTTGACCGATCGACCGTAAGATTATGTTCACGTAACAATGGCACGTTTCGCCCCTTAAGCGGAAACTTTTCTCACACAGGGTTATGTTCGAGCAACGATATAATTTTTTTTTTTTTTTTTTTTGGGAGATTTTCATAGCGAACGAACGTTACTTCTGCCAGATGAAGTTCGTTTTCCGAGTAAAATGCAATAAAGAAGGGCTGGTAATAACGGACTCGATGGGACAAAGCAAGAAAGTAGGGCGCAACACGCGACTTATATAAAAAATAAAAAATATGTTAAAGACAAGAGGAATTATTAAAACAGTTAATTATATATCAAATAAAGGCAAATTTTATGTGAAGGGGGAAATATTTTTTTTAACCAAAAGATCTTATTGATTGTATTAATGTAATTTTAGACTAGTCGAGTACAAATAAAAAAAATATATATAGAATGGTTATAAAATTGGAAGTTGTGACGATTGCATTGTGTTGATAATTGTAGGCGATGAAATAAAAAATTAGGCAACAACGAGTATAGATTTTTCAGTTTTCTTTTTATTCTTTTTTTTTTTTCTCGTTTTTTCTTTAATTATTTATTTTGTACAAACAATTGTACAAAAAAAAAAAAAAAAAAAAAATGAAGCCACGAATGCCGATTTAGTCAAACAGACCTGTAACAGAAAAATAGTATTTATTAATAAATTAACTTCCGTCTACGCAAGCGTAAATTATATTTTTTATACCATCTCATTTAAAAATGCATCTTCATAATTTCATTTCAGTAGCTAATACATGCTTGACTAATCATTGTATGTTAAAGAATATTTAAACTAAAATAAAATATATTGAAATCTTACCGAAGCCCATATCATCATCTGATTCTTCTTCAGGCTCTTCCTTCTTCTTTTCCTCTTTAGCAGCAGGTGCTTCGGTGGCAGCAACTGCAGCAGCAGGTGCTAAGAGAAAATATAATTTTAGAACGTTTGTTATCACATTACATTATACAAGTATTTTACATACAATTCGTTTAATAATGTGTCATTCGACAACAAGGTTATTTGAAGTTATTTCATATTTGTCGATAAAGAAAATCTCAGCTTCGATTAACAAATTCTCTAGCTCAATTGATTCTCCTTTACATTAATTTCTCCACCAATGCTGACCGTTTTAGTTAAGCAAAGTACTAATACGGTGGATGAAATTGGGGATAAAAAATCGCACAATCTTATATTAATATAGAAAAAAAAAAAATGATTACCATTGCCAGCTGGTGCAGCACCGACTCCAGAACCTATCCTGGTAATTAAGTCCTTGACATTGATACCCTCTAAAGCCTTCGCAAAAAGACCAGGCCAGTAAGGTTCAACATCCACCGACGCTGCCTTTAATATAGTCTGGATCTTTTCGCCCTTCAATCAATTATATTTCATTATATTTCAACTATTTTATTACAATTAATTATCTTAATTATAAAGATTAAAAGAATATTTTTAAAAATAGAAGAAATTTAATTTTAATCTTGACTGTTTGTTTTTATGAAAAGTTTGCAACGCTTGGGAGAGTAATGAGGTTATGAAATATTTAACGCAAAAATTTCGGAAAATTTCAGAATTTTCTTCTACCTCGAATGCTTTAACTTTCAAAATAACTTGGTAAACTCAATAACTCCCTAACATTAAGCCGTTACTACAATTACCGAACTATTTAATGAAACATATTCTACCATCACCGTGCATAACGCTTATATCAATATTGAATATTGCTCAAGAAATATTACATACGGCTATAAATAAAAAAATTAATTGAAAAATCTTTCAAATTTTTGCTTAAAAATAACTTTACAAAATACATTAGTTATATCGGTTTAAGGCTTATATAGATAATAAAGAATCATTCGTTCCAAGAACGAAACGTGTAAACACAACTTTCAACAATAATTCTCAAATATTGAGCAATTAAAAACGCATAAATAAAGATTTTCGAAAATTGATCGTGAAAAATATAAAATTGGAAATGAAAATTGTTGATCTTCTTGAAAGGCACAAAGTGTATGATATAATAAATTATGGGCAAAATAAAGCAAAGAGGTTACTCACTGTAACAGCGATATCATCGTCGATGAGGATAAGTGCGGAATAAACGCATGCTAAGTCGGCTTTGTTAGTCATCTTAAGTATCTTATTTTTCTAAAATAAATGCTTGATGAATTTATAAAACTGTGCAAGTCGCCGATACGGCCTTAGCTCAAAAATGAGAACAAGCACCGAATTCTCGTGTCGAACATCAACTCCAAAGACGAAAAGAGGCGTGGAAGCCGAGCATTCCGGAAGCCACGTGATATATTGAAACGATCCGCTCTCATTGGCTGCTTGGCAACTGAAATTTCTTTAACGTTTTATGGTCAATGGCGGGCCAATGGAGCATTTGATTTTCACACTGGCATTGCAAGTGTGATGAGCAGACGACATTTAAAGATACGCAAAGATACGAATAATATTAATTATAAAGTAAACGTTCGCTATAAAGTAAAATTCGTAAGGATAATCCAGTGAATTAGTTAATCAATTAATTGTATTATTATGTTGGCACAATGACATAATAATAAAGAATGTGTGAACTTGGTGCAACAACACAGTTAGCGAGAAGAAATTAACGATTCATTAATGAATTCAGTAAACGAACTATTACTATTGACTTAGAGCGCAAAATATTTGACTCAGCTTTCCAAAAAATCCATTAACCATCTATCAATTCATTAGCTCCAATAATCGCTTCATGAAATCAGAATCACAAATTGTGAATTAAACAATAATAATAGTATTATTACACAGACTATAATTTTTATTCAATAACATCGTTAATATACTTACTTTAATTCAAAATATTAAATCCAAAGATTTATGCAAATTCTCGTGCTCGCAACTCGAAAAGTTATCGTTAATATTAAGTGAAGTAAATTTGAAAAACTTTTAACATTTCACAGAACATAAATAACAAATCATCGATTTTAATTTAATTTTAAAATTAACTTATCCGTAAAAATGTCAGAAATCTCATTTTTATTATTAATTGTATTTTCTAAAAATAGTTTGTTTTAAAACTAATATTTAAAACTTCTTGAAATATTTATTTATAAATTATAATTTTTATCATTTCTATAGTAATTTAATAATTAGATGAACCATTACTAATTACTAAAAAATTATGTAATAGATAGACTGTCGTGTACGCACATAAAATATATGAAAATATTTTTCATTGGTTTTCGTAGTCATTTCAACGCAAAATTTCAAATTTGAATTATTACAAGCCTCTTATAATATTCAAAATTAACTATTCTGACATAAGGGTAAAATTAAATATGTAAAATCTTTTATAATAAAATCTATGAAACATATTATAGGAAACAAAATTAAATATATATTAAATATGGTTTGTGAACAAAATATATAGTACTCGTTGCATATTCTTTATCATACGATTGATCAGCTTTCTTATAAATCAAAAGAAAACTGAAACTCATAGAATAAATAGAATCGAAAGCGAATATTGAAAAATATTGCCTTATTATTGATATCATATTAAATAAATTTTAATTTTTATCACAATTACAAGTATTCTTATGAATCTGAGCTTTGTCGAATTAAGATTATTACACACATTTTATATATTTAAAACAATATGTCTTTTGTAAAAAAGACATCCATTATAATCTGCTTTTTTCAGCTTTAGAATAAAGATGCTTCTTATTTATTAAGAACCAATAAACAGCATTAAGTAAGCTCGGAGGACTTTCAACTTCATCAGAAGTAATATAATTATTTACTTCATTGATACTCATTTCAATAACCTCGATCAATTCGCCTTTTGATTGTGCTTCTTCTGAAATTAATATTGTCTTTATTGTAAAAACATGTATTTAAAAATACATGATTATATAAAAGTTATTTTTACATCGATACAAATATTTTGAACATTTTTAAATATATAACTTACCGCTATGAATATTCATTTCATCTGTAACTTCTGCATAGAATAGGGTTTCTTTACTTGTTGTTGATCCTACAAACCTATAAAAATAAATAGCTTAGATAAGTAAATATTTTATATACCGATATAAACCAACAATGTCTAATTAATATCGTTGTACATTATTTTATACATAATCGAATCATTTAGGAATCATATTTACCCATTTACCAATATTTCATTATCAATGCTATAACAATATTATAATTAACTATCTAATAACTATGGGACTCAAACTTAATACTCGATAACTGTAATTAATTATTACTTTATATCTATTAGAAAATGTATAAAATATCAATACAAAATGTTATTAAAAATGCGCTCGATATAAATTGTAAAGGAATTGACTAATTTTTCACGTGTTTTATAATAAATTTTACTTGCAAATACAAAAATATATGCTTACTTATTCAAATTATTAAAATAATTATTGTCCCTTTTACGATTCTTAATAAAAGATTAATCATTAATAAATAAATCATAATTATCAGATTTTTTGGCTATACTATCTTCTATAATTTTATAACTATCTAATGTGGGTTATTTTGAAAATTGAAAATTCCATCGAACATTTGATATAATACTTACTTGTTATCTTCAAACTGATTAGACAGTATAATCTAATAAATTTAATTGCTAGACAGTATAAGCTACGTACAATATAAAAATAATAGATGCACTATAAACAGATATTAAATTAATTTAAAATAAATATTTAATGTACAAATTATTATAGAGTTATTTGATATAAACAATGTATTACCTATGGAAATTAAGTTTAACGGAGCAATATATTAAATCTAATCATTTAATTTAAATGAAACAGGTCAAAAGGCATTTATCTTTTGAACTTACAATCACAATTATATCCAAATAATAACATCATGATAAGAACGAAGCTTTAAATCATTGTATATTTATAAAATTATCTAACATTCTTATAATGTCTTGGTAATAAATATTAATATGTACAATATCAATTAAGAACAGTGCCATTATTGTAGAAAATAAATTAAAAATCTCTCGCTTAGACTAGTTTCAAGTTTCAATATCAAATAATGATTATCAATTCACGCATTTACATATACTCAATGTTAAACACAAATGTTTTTTAATCTTAATCTATTATATTAAAATTATACTCTGTAAAATAATTATTTATAGGAAAAGAATAGAATTTTACAGATTTTAATTTTTCACAAAATTTTAATACGAATAACATGAATTCAGACGTAATAAATGTGTCGATAACCTTTCATAAATATAAAAAAAAATGATATATCTAAATAAAAAAATTATATAATTGCAAAAAGCCATATTAATCATAGCGAGAGTACTTTTTGCAATAATATATTTATTATTCAAAATTACATGCAAAAAAAGTGACTTTAAATAACTTTTTTTTCTTTTTCAAACATTTTTTACGTACATTATACATTGTAAAAATGCATACATGCATACTGTACAAGTGTTAGCCCGTGTTACCGACGTGCAATGTGCCTTGAACTTAAAGTGGCACGCGTTCTCGATTTATAATCCATAACAATCGTAAAAAGTGTCTTATCCTTTGGCTTATCCGAAGTAAATAAATATTAATTCAACGTACGTATAATTAACAATTTTGTTTAAAGTTGAAAGAGGTACTTCATATCCGCACTCTTCTCTCACTTCATCTCGAGCGATTTCTATCAAAGATTTGTCTTTGTCAACTGCGCCACAACAAAGTTCGATAGTCAAACCAAGTGTTGGCGGATATTGTTGGAGGTCAACAACTTTTCCTCGCCTTTTATTTATCGGTATGCAAGCACAATACGAAGCAGGTCGAAATTGCTTTACGAAGACGAGTTTCTTACGGCTCCTATTAAATATGAGTATCACCACGCTATCGTATGCCTTCATAAAATCCCAAATCTTTTTTTTACCATCTTGAATGTAATGCATTCGAAGTGGCTGTAAATACATGGAGTTGCTCAACGGAGCGAAACGTACGTCGGTTAAATTTACTATGCGCTTACGAATTTCGCGATTTTTTTCTTCCAGTGGCTTATTTGCCATCTCATATGCCGTGAAAATATGCTAAAATTCTTTCAAAATGATAATCCAATTCTCCTGCTCACCCTTGCGATATCCGACTAATCTCAGTCGCTCCGTCGCATTTTTACATAATAATGCAAGAGACTAATGAAATTAACGCACGCGTAAACTCACGATTTTTATCAAACTGCATTGATTACCGAAATGCCAACCGCCAGTACCACTTGTTTATTTGTATGGTAGGAAGACGAATGAACGGTGAAGGAGCGACATAAGCGGGCATAATTTTACAATTTTAAATATAAGAAAAATCTGTTTTTCCAATATAAATTTTCGTGTAAAGCAGAATAGCCAATAGTTTATTTTGATCTGAATATGATGTTGAATTATATTACGACGGTAAATTTTATACGTATATGCGTAATTACAAATCGTCATTGAATATGCAGGTGCAAACGAAGTAAAGAGGTTCAAGGGACAATTACGAATAATGTAAATCGAATAATCTTGCGATTCTTTATTTTTAGTCTCCGAGGCTTCGGCTATAAATATCCTATGGTAAATAAAGACACAGTGGCTTTTATCCCAAATGTCCTTTCACCAACCTCCAAAATTACCTTAATATATTTTCATCGACGTTCCTTTTTAACGCGGATGATCGATGAAACTTAGTTTAATTACATTGAAATAATAAATTTATTATTATTTTCCAACGAAGATTACTAAGAAACGACAATTAATTATCATTGAAATGTAAATGCAAATAAATGCAAAATAAATGCAAAATACTAACTATAACATTATTTATAATATATGAAATTGAACTATTAAATTTTCAAGGAGTATTAATTTGTTTTTCTATATATTTTATTTTAATATATCAATTTTTTTTTTCATTATATACCATATTTAATTAAAATATGCCAATTTTGCTTATATAGATTCTTAATAATAGCTTTAAATTTCCATGAGTGGATATGTGAGTAAATATAACAATATCTGTTCAATGTAAATTTTAATGTGATTTATTCTTAGATCATTCAAACATAAAATGGAAAAATGAGCTAAATAATTGTCAACCGAATAACATATATTTTCATTAAAATGTAAGAAGTTATGCAAAATGATGAAATTAAGAAAATATTATTTGGTTAAACATTAAAATTATGTAATTTAAAAATGAATCATAACTTTTATTAATAAGGTTCCATAATCCCATCAATCGCTTAATTTTAAAATAATTTAAAGCTTTGTTCATTGCTTTCCAATTAAATTAATTAAAACAATTGTTTTTAAATATTAATTATTAAAGCATTGCGAGACATATATTTTCATCCTTTTATTATATATGTATTTATAGTTTAGGACTATCTTATATGAAGAAAAATAAAGTAATTAACCCAATAGAATCGAGGATATGAAAATTTTTTTAATACTTACAAATTTAATTGCAACGAATAAAAGTAAAATAAATTTCTCTTACGTTTATGAAAAGTAAACATTTTTAAAATATAAATTTATAAATAAAACATTTTATCAAAATATATTCAAATATAAAATGTAAAATTGTAGGTTTACAATAATTTATGCTAATGAATGAAACATAATGATAAGTAAAAAAAACTAATTAAAGTTATGAACATTCAAATAACAATAAACAGTTTATAGACTATTATATAAAATTACTTTTAAAATATTTGAAATTTGTCAAAAATTACGAATTTATATTTGTTTTACTTAATATAGATACATAAAATCTTAACATTTTTTAAACATTAAGTAAAAGTAAATTGCTTATATAAAATGTATATTATGTGATGATAAAACATTTATGTATGCACGCACATACAGAATATATGTATATATATATATATATATATATATATATATATATATATATATACACTTAAAATGAAACGATTTCGTTTTAACTTAATATTAATCGTTAATTTCAATTATAAATAAAATTAAATAGATAATATATATATATATATATATATATATATATATATATATATATATATATATATACATATATTCTGTATGTGCGTGCATACATAAATGTTTTATCGAATGATGAATACTTCAAGTACTGTTCAGAAAGCAGAGTAATAGATGAAATATTTTTAATTGACAAGCTACGTTGAGTATCGTTCCAATTTTTAGAAATAAATTAAAATTAGTGAGAATAATTTTTAAGATTTCATCAGTAAATATAATTCAATGTATTATTGTGATAGTAATGATATAATACAATCTAAATTTGTATAATAAAATATAATACGTACATATGATTTACAATTATAACACGTAATGCAATAAAAATATAATTTCCAACAATTAAATACATTCTAATCTCAAGTTAACTGTCAATTATTACGCTAATTATATATATGTAATATTTTATATTTTATTAATGCAATATTTGTAAGATTTTTTTATAATATTTAAATACTTTTAAATAAATATATTTTTACAAATAAAATATTTTCTTACAATGTATTGTATTAGATATATTGATAAAGAGCTATTGGCATAAATTTTATATAATTACTTGCATAATTTAATTTACTTACAGTGTTCAATATTCCTATTCATTTTATTTGATATATCAACACGTTTTCAATGCAATAATCGTCATATATAAATATATTTTAAATATACACATAAAATATAATTTATTAGCCAGAGTGTAACAATTAGTTATTGAACAGTTGGAAATTTTAGTTTTCATGAATCTTTAAAATTGCTACATTCAATGCTTAACGATTATACAGCAAAATAAGCGAAAATGGCGGCTGCCGTAGATGCTGTAAGAGAAAAAACTCTCCAAGATTATAGAAAAAAGCTTTTTGAGCATAAAGAAGTTGAATCTCGCCTGAAGGAGAGTAAGTACTTTTCAGTACTATTATTTAATATACTTTTACAAATGGCGTTTTACAATATTTACTCCAACCTTTATTTTGGAGGTTATGTTATTTGAATTATTTACTCAATTTCATGATATTACTGTGCAGTCAAATTACTATCATTTTCATAAATTATATTCTGGTTGAAATTATTTATAACATCGAAAGAAAACAAAATATTTATATTTAAAGTGCTTTTTATATTTTAGTGCGAGATCATTTAAAAGATCTAACCAAACAATATGACAAGTCTGAAAATGATTTAAAAGCTTTGCAAAGTGTCGGTCAGGTATGCAATTTTATTCCGAATGTATTACATTTTCAATTAATTCTCAAGCAGTTTTCAAATTCTCTATAATATTTATTTAATTATAATATTTAGATTGTTGGTGAAGTTTTGAAGCAACTCACAGAAGAAAAATGTATGTACAATAAAATTGATAGATAAATTTGAAAATAGCTGTATTATTATTATATAGGAAATCACAAAATTATTTCATTACAGTTATAGTCAAGGCAACAAATGGTCCACGGTATGTTGTCGGTTGTCGGCGTCAATTAGATAAAAATAAACTCAAATCTGGAACAAGAGTCGCTCTTGACATGACGACTCTTACAATTATGCGATATTTACCTCGTGAAGTGAGTATTTTTGGTTAGATTTATAATCCACGTATTGCATAAATAATATAATTTGTTTGTATTTAAAATTAAAAAAAATCTATAAAACAAAATCATTCTATTATTCATAATTCTATCGAGTTTAAATATTCTTATATTTTTCTTTGAAGTTTTTAAATAAAATTTAAACATCATAATTATAATATAACTTTGTTTTTTACATCTACTTATATTTTATACATTTAATATTTTGCACTCCTTATCAAAGTAAATAAATATTTATTTTAAATTATTATGGTAATGCTATAAATTACTTAATTCTGTCTCTCTAAATATGTCATATACAAACATATAACTATATTTATGCCAGTGTTGATGTACAAAAACAACGCGATATCCATTAATGGACTAAATTAAATTGTTTTTATTACTAAGATTATATACACTTCATTATTTATTATTATTAAGATTCATATTCGTTAAACAAAGGGCATTGTAATGTAATAAATAATTTAAATATTAAATAAATAATTCTCATTTTGTTTGTTTTAGGTGGATCCATTAGTTTACAATATGTCTCACGAAGATCCGGGTGACGTTACTTATTCAGAAATTGGTGGTTTAAGTGAACAAATTCGTGAACTTAGAGAAGTTATTGAACTGCCCTTATTAAATCCTGAACTGTTCCAGAGGGTAGGGATTACACCACCTAAGGGCTGTTTGTTGTACGGACCACCAGGAACTGGAAAAACTTTACTCGCTAGAGCCGTAGCGAGTCAATTGGATGCAAACTTTTTGAAAGTTGTATCCAGTGCAATTGTAGATAAATATATAGGTGAATCTGCTAGATTAATCAGAGAAATGTTTAATTATGCCCGTGATCATCAACCTTGTATAATATTTATGGACGAAATTGATGCTATTGGTTAGTAAATTTTCCCTTGATATACTTTTTACACTTTCTTTTATGTTACACGAAAAATAAGGCGTTTTAATAATTTTTTACTATTATATTTTTAAAATCTTATGATAGGGGGTCGTAGATTTTCCGAAGGAACAAGTGCAGATCGTGAAATTCAAAGAACTTTAATGGAATTACTGAATCAAATGGATGGTTTTGATTCGTTAGGACAAGTCAAAATGATAATGGCTACGAATAGACCAGATACATTAGATCCAGCTTTATTACGACCTGGAAGATTAGATAGAAAAATTGAAATTCCATTACCTAATGAACAAGCTAGATTGGAAATTTTAAAAATCCATGCTAATCCTATTGCCAAACATGGAGAAATAGGTATACTTCTATTTAATTTTATAAAATTGATGCGGGTGTAATAAAATAGTATTAATTAACGTTTAAATTTGACTCGTGAACTATTTTGAAATGTAGATAAAAGAATATTTGTTATTTATTAGTCGATGAAACTGTATAATTCGAATTATTTTTATTGTAAATAATGAGATATTTAATTGGAATATTAAGTAAATATTCACCTAAAGTTTTTACTATCAATCGATTCCTATGAAATAGTAATATTTATACTTTAATTTTGCGATAGATTATGAAGCTGTTGTGAAACTTTCCGATGGCTTCAATGGTGCAGATTTAAGAAATGTTTGCACGGAAGCTGGACTATTTGCAATTCGCTTAGAACGTGAATATGTTATACAGGAAGATTTTATGAAAGCTGTTAGAAAAGTATCAGATAATAAGAAATTGGAATCAAAATTGGATTATAAACCAGTGTAAAAATAAAACTATTTCATTGTATTTTTATTATAAAAATTTACGTGGATAACATGATTTATATTAATAAATATTTGTATTCGGTAATAAAAAAAAATATCTTCTCAAGATTAGGCATCTTTTTTAACTAATCTTAATTTTTTCCTTTCCTGGTATTCTTGTAAATTATCGAATTTTCTCTTGTATAGTATTGGTAACAAAGTTTGATTTAATCCTTGGTAATGTGTACTCCAAAGTTCATTTAATGTTTGAATTTGCATATTTAAATTAGAATCAATGATCAATGTTTCTCCATTAAATTTGTAAATTTCAATTTTTTTATCCATTAAAATCCATAAATTATTTTTATGATACTGACACTCTAAAGGCTCCTGTTCTAACGTAACTAATGACAAATATTTTACATTTAAGTTATTTTCTTCTGCAGATATTCTATAAACTAGCATTGCATTACTGCAATAAAAAGTAATTAAAATAATGGAATTTTCTTCGTTGAGTTGTAGTAATTTTAAGTGCTTCACTGGTGAAACTGTCACACCTTCCTCTAAATTGTGTTTTTTTAAAGTTTCATTTACTTTAAGTAAATCGCTTTGGGATAATTTTTCATGGAAATAAACAGTTAATAATTCCTTTCCAGTCTTGAAATCCCAAAACATTAAAGTCCCATCTCCTCCACTAGACGCGAGAATACTTTTATTATGAGGAACAACAGCAATATTGGTAACAAAGTCTTTATGACCTAAACAATAAGATAATATATTATAACTATTAGGAAACATGGAAACTCTAATTTTCTCATCCCTATCTGCCGAGATTATAAATTTTTGATCATCTGTCACTAAAATATCTAGCAGCATCGATAAATGACCGAGCAGTAATTGGCCATTTTCATTTGGTTTTGAGGTTGAAAATAAATAAGCATCCCCGGATTTGTCAGCTACAACAATATCATTGTTTGGAAGAAATCTAACTTTACTCGCTGCTCTCTGCATCTTTCGATTCGAAATAAGTTCTAAGGTCTCTGTTTTAAACAAACATAACTGTTTACGATTGGCACAAACTAAAAAATATTGTCCATCATTGGAAAATTCCACACATATTAGTATATGAAACGTTTCGATTTCTTCCCTGTTATGAGCTCGAATTTCATTTTTACTTTCAAGTTTAGGTAAAGCAATGATATTTCTAATTTGGCTATCTAGGTTATAAATTAAAACACTATCATTGTTGCATAAAACGACATGAGAATTGCGAATTGAAAAGCTCATGTTTAATGCTAGTCATTCAGAACATCAATCTAGTTCCTCTTAATATACCGGCTAATGTACTATTTACAAGGTCATTAATTAACTAGAAAACAGAAAACTGTATTGCCTTATTGAGCTATTCAAAACCACGTGCTTTCACCATTTTATTTTCATTTTGCATATGCACATTTGTGTACAGCAGGTTAGCTGTCACATTTTTAGTTGTCCGCATGTTGCGCCCCCTGCGTGACTGTTCACAAGTGTTTTGAAAACAAAAATTAACCGATAAGAAACATTTTCTATTTTTGCTTATAAAGTTTCTCAAGTCCTCTATTTCATTATTTTATTAAAGCATGGATTCTATTAAAAGGGTAAATTAGACATTTATTTTAGTTGATCGAGTTGTGCAAAACCAAAAACTTGTTATTTTATGTAGTTCGTTCATAATTGCGATATATTTTTAAAAAATAATTTCAATTATAAATAATAACGTGACAGTAAATCTATGTTATTGAATATAATAATCGAATTATTATTCGAAAGCGTAATAATGTTTTTCTCTAAATTTTTTAATACACACTATACAATTGAAGTATTAAAAATTTAACCTTCAATATCTACATTTAATAAGATAAATATATTATAAAAATGTATACTATTTTATATTATTTACAGTGAATATTATTGTAATCATATTGATAATAATCATTATTATTTTATGGTTCATGAGCTTTAATTTTTGTGACAGACCGATAGTAATCTAAGTATTTCTTCAATAATGTCTGGCTCCAGCCCAAATAATGATCCAGAAAATACAGCGAAAGCAAATTCAATGCGAAAGATTTTAGTCGATGCAGTTTCTAACGTAAATGCTGAAAATTCAACCCTTGGAAATGAGATTTTAGAATTACTCGATACATTTAAATTTGACATAAAATCGCTTCCAAATGACATAAAAGAAGAAATATATTTAGCTGCTACTATTCTTAAATCCGAAGGATTACCTTCAATCGATGAGATGGCATTGAAATTGTGTTTAGAAAAAAGAAGCATTGAAAATAAAATGAAAAATCGTGAAGAGAGGCTGTTCAAAGCAAGGTACAATACAGCATTTGCTAAATACAATAATTTGCAAGAAAAATTGATTCAAATAAGATCAGAAATTGAACCTATCGAAGAATTATTAAGGCTGAAAATGTCTAATGAAGAAAATGCGGAATCAGACAGAATAGTGTGGTCGAATAAACTTTACGATTATAAAGGCGCCATTAAAAAGTTAGAGCTAGAGTTGGATAATTTACAAATTCAGGAATTTGGATTAGATAAAACATTGCAAAAATCATTGCTCTTGATGGATAAAATGAACGAACTCAATCAATTAAACCTCACTTTAGAACGATATGGTGATTTACCACCTAATTTAATACAAGCAAAAAATATGTTAGAAAGCAAGTCAGAAGAGCTTAAAGAAATTAAAACTTTAATATTCGATAAAATGAACAATTAATGAATAAAAATTATATCTAATAATTTTTATAATAAATGCTTCATACGATATGGCTATATTTTATAAATGATTTATTATCAAATTGAATAATTCATTTTTATTTACTGATATTTTCAAATATAACTAGCTAATCATTTTGTATTAATATTCTTGGGAATGAAAAATGCAAAGTAACACAGCGTTTTCTTAAATTTAGTTGATGTTAATTGAACAGTAAATTCCTAATAATTTGCTGAATAATTATTTCTTGTATTACTTTATGATATTTTTGTTGCTTGACAAGTGTTATATAAGCAAGTACAAGATATAAATGAATCAATTTCTATATTCATTAAATAAACTGAATTGATATTTATAAATTTTTAGAAAGAGTTATTGAAATATAAATATAAACTTCGACTAAGATGACCACATCCAAAATACCGATTCTTGGAAATAAAGCTAATATTATAAATGCTAATTATGTTAATAAAGTGAAAAAGATTTGAAATAACATACATAATTGTTTTAAAAATAATAAAGTACCAATATGGAATAAATATTAATACTTTACATGCATTTTGGTTATTTTAGCATATGAGAAAAATGATTTGCCTAAAACATAGGAAATTCATTTTACTCAAATCAAAAAGTAACTTTACATAAGAAATAAAAAGTAAATTTAATAAATTCTATATAAATTTATAGCATATCAATATGTATTTAAAAAAAGTTACATCCCTAATATTTATAGTTATTTACACAAATTCATAAAATATTGCATTTACTACAACAAGATCGTAATGAAACTAGTAAACTGAATATTTTCTTCCCTACAATAAATATATAACATAACTGTCATAATAATCATTAGCATTACATAGTAATGCAGTAACATAATTCTCAGTATTACTACATTGTCAGTAATCATTAAAAAAAATTAAATAATGTAGTAATACAGTAAATTTCATTTAAAAAGTAATAATATCAATAAATATTAAATACTTATATATAGAAATTCTTTATCATTCGTTAGTATAACTTTTCACAAACGTGAATCTTGTATCATAAAACCTTTCACGTATTCATAACAATCACGCAATTGCCACTTTTCTTATATAGATGCTAAAAGCCATATTTTGATCGTGTCTGCTGTCGACTGGCTTTGTTTTGTGCCCACTGATTTTTTAATTCTAACTCCATGGCTTTAGCTTGATGAGCCAAATATGTGATTTGATGTTTCTTCTTTGATTGCCCACTAGGGCCAGCGCCAACAGACACAGGCCTTTGGGCAGCTTCATCCGTAAGCGCTTTAATCATCCACTCCCTCTCGTCTGGTTTTATGTCTTCGCCACTAATTTCAATGATGTCTACATTATCAAATTCATTTTTTCGCTTCACTCCCCTTTTACCACATAAATATTCAATTGCTTTTTCATCAAAAGCTACGTTCCCTTCTGAATCAACGTTATATTCCTGTTCAGGAATAGGTAATTTTGGACCAACTTCTGCCTTATTTTTTAAAAGTATTTCTTCTTTTGGAAGATTCATAATATTGCTAGTTAATCCTTTATTTGTTTTATTTGCTTCGTTAAGTGAATTCTCTTCAACACGATTAGATTCGTTTGAAGAAGGTAAGGCTGTAATAGCATCGATTTCATTTCTAACAGAAGTTGGTAAAATTTCATCAGGAATACTTGTAGGAGCAGACAGGGAAAAAAAGTCTATTCCAGATGAAGATACTTCGTTATCTTCATCTTCCGAATCCGACGTATAATTAAATACAGACATAAGCTTCGAGGACTCGGCTTTCTTTTGAGCAATTGATTTATTATTCATTTTTTTTGGCTGAATGCTTGGCACATTTGTTTGAATGGGTTTTTTTATTTCAATTGGCTTTTTGGTTAATGCATGAGGTACCATGACATTTGTTTTCATAGTAACTAACGAACTTTTTGGTGGCGGTAACAAATTAATAAGTCCTGATGTTTTCTAAAACAAATTATGAAAGATTGCAATTGGGTGAAAATTTTAATATAAACAATTTTTAAGAAACGTTGAAAAATGTGAATTACCTGTGAAGTTTGCTTTTTCATATGGTTTTGCTCACATTCTTCGTCAACATCCTTAAACTAAAATTAAAAATCAAAATTAAAATATATGATAATTAAGTAATAATTATTGATTTCTATTCCAATTCTATACATTTATATTGGAAAATTATTATAATCTTACATCAGATAGAGATGGAATCGATATTTTTATAGGACCTTTTTTCTTTTTGGGCGGCTTTTCGATAAGTCCATAATCAATTTTTTTCGGCATTGGTGCATTATCGATTTCCTGTAGATTTATCTCGATATTTTCTTCGATTAATTTTGGTTTTGGTATTACATCAAAATTCAATGTCTGTTCTTTATGATTATTTGTACTTTCACCCTCTAACTCATGTGGTTCTTCTAATTTTGGAACGGGTAATTGCAATTTACTTGTTTTATTTACATTTTGAATAGCTGCACTTTGAGTTTTTCTTTCCACTTGAGGTTGCTCGCTAGTTTCTTCCTCATTATCACTTTCATCGCTACTTCCATAAGCTACGAGGCTCATTTTAATTATATTTATTAATAATCTATTATTAGCCGACAAAAATATTTTAATTTAATCTCAACTTTTCAAACGATCACAATGTTTTTTTCAATTCTGTTTATATTACAATATTTTAGGTTACGTTTTATATTGTCGATAATATAGATTACGTGTTAAACCATAAAAGGCATCAACACGATATAAGGATTGCAAAAATTTAAGTTTAGATGGTGACACTCGACCGAGCCTAAAGGCTTCTTTCTTTCGATTAAAATGGCAAATAAACTGTCCGGCTATTTGAAAATTTAACACGCGATTACTAACGGACGCACTCCTACTCTTTGCATCTAATTTGTAAAAAAAATTTGGCTTATTATTGGTAACACTGTCCATTTTAAAAATGATAAAATGTATCAATTTTGATCTATTTAATATAAAAAGTTATTAAACGTCAAAGGTAAATAAATATCTATTGCTACATTTTACGACAATAGTTGAACATTGCGAAACATTGCGAAACATTAAGACATAATAATAGCCATAATTCACGTGTTATATCGTCGACTCTTATCGCTGCATTCATCGGGATGAAAAATAGAAAATAAAAATAAATAAATAAGTTCAGTAAAATCACAAAAGACACCAAAAAAGTGAAAAATTTATCAACTTTAATATGTAAAAGTTGATTATCCTAAATGATTAAAAAATAATAGTAATGATAAAAACTTGGTACATCATATTCGAAGCGAATGAAGGTGAATAATAATAATAAAAGTATATTATAAATTAAATTTAGATTAAAAATTTTATGAAAAATGATTTTATTGGAAAAGATTTAATTTAATAATCCTATTTTATGAATGTACACACGCACACGCACACACACATACATACATATATATATATATATATATATATATATATATATATATATATATATATGACATACATACATTCATAAAATAGGATTTTTATTTAAAAGAAAAAATGAATTTTACGTAGCTGCTTCCCCGATTTCAAATAAAAAATATATTTATTCGGCTTATATTAATTTCCTTATAGTGTATTTCTAATTCTATATGAATTTACCGAAATGCTCTTAATAAAATAATAATATCATTTTACAAACAGTTAATTGAAATGTTTTATAAAATTTACTATTATGTCGATTTGTAAAACTTTCAATTTGATTACAAAGTTTATTAAAAATCTTTAATTATAAAAAGCATACCTTCTAAATTTTCATTCTTCCCCCTATTGCGTAAAGCATTTAAAGAAAATGGAAAAGGCTGATTTCATTGTTAAATAATTAGAGCGGCGCACTAACACTAATTCAACGATTCAAACAATTTTATATTTAATTTTATTATATTCTGCCTATGATATTATAAAGACTCTTACACTTATTAATTTCTCAACCTAGTAAAAGTTTTTAAACTAACGTTTTTCAAACCGACTGTTAATAATCTATTCAAATTACAGAATTTTATATTTTTTAAATCTAATAATTTTTTAATCTGACAATTGTAATGCGCTATGAAAAATATTCACTAAATGTTTAATAAATTTCTGAAAATATTTAATGCTATTTTATGTATAAGTACTATCGACAGTATTATCGGACCGACAGATTTTCAATTACGTTATATATAAATATATATATTTTTTTTTTTTTTTTTTTTTTTTTTTTTAAATCGCCAAACATTTATTTTATTAATATTAAAATAAATTCACGTTTATTTGTAAATTATTTGCTCTTTTTGATTCTTTTAGCTGTAATTTATTTTTAATTTCCAATAATGATAGATAAAATGACGCAATATGCGATGAAAATATAAAACTTGGTATTCTCAATAAGCTTTACCATTTGATATAAATCCTTTTATAATGTAAACATGTATCTCCAAATCGATTTGTCAAATGAGCAAAAATGCATTAATATTAAATTTTTAAAAGTGTAAAAAATGAATCTTAATAAAGGTCGGCACGATAAGTGTTTATAGCACGTTTAAACGAACGATTTAATAGCGCAATTACATAAGTCGTGCGAGTCTAATTATTTAACGACAAAGGCTAATTGATTACCATTAAACAAAAAACAGCAGCAAAAACAAAAACAAAATCATAGGGAAAAAGAGAGAGTGAGAGAGAGAGAGAGAGAGAGAGAGAGAGAGAGAAAGAGAAAAACAAAAAAAACAAAAAAATATCCTACTAATAATAAATTATTATTCATTTCAAGATAAAAAAGAGATTCAGGCCTCTTAATAAAAGATCATCGAGCAGTGTGTGAAAGCTTAACAGAGCCGGCATTATTACAACCCTTTGGACTATAAAGAATAAAAAGTGAAGTCAAAAAATGTAGACGCACCGAAAATAAAGAGACTCTCGGTACGGACGCTTTCAATGAACATCCGCTTTGGGAGCCGCGCATCAAAGGGCACCGAAACGGGTAAATAATTAAATTCAAATCTCGCGGAATTAAATCAGACGGAATTGAAAATGCTCATAATGGAGCGGGCCGCGTCTAAGGTGCCGCTAAATACCTCGATCGTGTATTCCGCGTCTTCCACGGGGCTCCCGTGCGCCCCGGTAAAGCGTAATTATCGATCCCACGACTTAAAAAATCTCGCTTCCGATATCCGATACTTCGCCAGCGATTTTTCTCAATGTAGACACACGGCATTCCCACTCGCGCCTTACTCGACAATTGATAGGTCGTGCACTGCTTGGCATATTGTTGGGCGTGTTGTATGTGCGACTGAAAAGTGACGGTAGGAAGAAAAGAACCAGTAGGATACTACTAGTATGCTGCTTACGTAAAAGCCATTTTCCAACGACAATCTGGGCATTTACTCCTAGGTGACATTCACTCTTAAACGTAAACGGTCAGCTACTTCCCGTAACCCACATTTTCTTATTTTCCTATCGTCTCTTATACTCGCTCCTCTTATTTCCACATTCCCTGTCACTACTTATTTATCTCTTAATTTAGCTCTTAAAAATCCTAACATCCGTTCAGAAAATTCGACAATTTTCACGTTCCCCGACTCATTAATTTTGCTCCCTTTTACGAATCTCTTCCGTAAATTTACTAACCCGCCGAACACTATGATTTTTATTGTTATTCTTGGAGTTTCATTTAATTGTTCCAGGCAGACACGATTTTAATAAACCGTTCGACGCGTCACGTGCAATTTCCATCGTGAGTGTCGCACTATACGACACGGGGCAATAATACGTCGATTGTCGTCGTTGTCAACATCGTCCTCGGCTCTAGAGTCCTTACGAGTCGTTGCGCTGATTACCAAGGTGCTCGAGTCCTTGGAAAATTTAGCTCGCATTAGTGGATTATCATTCAGCGAGCCACGCTCAGCATCGAAATACGTCCCTTCCAATATTTATTTGCATTAGCCGCTGGCGCTCGGCAGATAGTTTCGCGATAGCGCGAATTCTCGTTTCTGTGGTGCGCGTCTCCGTATCCGATTCTCCTTCTCATTCGGTCCCACGTGTCGTTAAACATCGCGGGCGGGACTGAGGGCGGAGAGGCCCTTCGACACTCGTCACGCGCATATCGCCGACTTCACATTCAAACGTCGCGAGCCCACGGCGCTCGCTCGACGATGCTAATATTACGTCGCGAGATTGAGACTTTGGTGACGTCGTGGGGCCCGCGTTTGCCTCGATATTGGCGCTGCTAATTTGATAGTTTAATCAATTTCCGTAAGCCGACGGGAGTTTAATAGTGATGTCATCATTCTCGACGGTGCACAATGTAGTCAATCTCGCTCGACGAGCTAATATTCGAAGAGTTAACGGAGTTTCGAATGCGGCCGCAGCTTTGCCGTTGCACGTCGAGTCCTTTCTGCTTCTCGCCCCAGTCCCGCGCCCCCGCGGACCCAGCGTCGCGCCTAGGCTCGTGTGTGCACGACGTGTACAAGTAAATTGCACCGAGCCAACTAATCCCACCGCCATCTCCACACGCTATAGGACGGCTCGTCGAATCCGCTTCTTTCACTCGCGCCTGCCTCGCCCTATGTATTACGGACTCTCAACCAACTCCACGTCGGAGCGCCCAACTTTTTTTCTTCCTTTACTTTCTTTTTCTTCTATTCGTCTGCATAGTCTTTTTTTTTTTTTTTTTTTTTTTTTTTTTTTTTTTTTTTTTTTTTTTTTTTTTTTTTTTTGTCTTTTTTCATTGACGATTCGACGGCGCGCGTCGACATGTAGGCCGAGTTTCCCCGGTTCCTGGTTCCAGCGGTTTCCAGCGTTGGATCGACCACGTCGTTCTGCGACCGTTTTCATCACTGGCGTGAAACAGTCGTTTGTGATTATTAATTAATTTAGAACATTTAGTTGGGAGCTTATCACTTTATTACCAAGAGCTCAAATTCAACCATCGAACCTTAGCTCAGAATTGTGAATTTATGTATTTACTTATTTACTTTCGCATATTTTAATCGAGCATTGTATTTATTGTACAATAATTGAAAATTGCCCCCCCCCCCTTCCAAAGGTCAATTTGCGCAATAAAATAATAATAATAATAAAATAAAGGATGTTAAAAGAACAATTTTAAATGTTAATAAAAGCTTGATAGTCACAATAGTCCAAGATGAAATACCAAATTTGAAAATTACATTGATAAAATAGTAATATTTAAGTTTCCAATTATGTGTAGTATGATTTTTTTTTTAAATAAAATTTATTTAAAAATCAAAATTTAATCATCAAAACACATATTAATAAACTTTCTAAATTTTCTTTGCGTATCTTCTTAATATTATATTATTCATGGTTAATTGACGAAACTTAATTTAATGAAAATATAAATATAATTGTCTCATATGTAGTCCAGTCATAGTTAAGTTAGTTTTATACTTGGTTTATCCAGCTACGATTACTTATTTTATTCAAACAAGTTTATCGATACCATTAGAAAGAAATTGTATTTATATATGCACAAACTATCCTAATACTCTCTTTTCTTTTTGTTTTGTTTTTTGTTTTGTTTTAAATCTTATTATTTCATCTTATCTTATTATTTCATCTATTAAATTTTCCATTTGCTAAACTTACTTTCTTTTATAATGAAAGCATGCCGAAAAAAGTAATTTAATTTTCTAAATAAATAATTTTTAACAAACATTTGTAATTAATATGATTGTTATTTTTAAATTTATCAATGAGAAAAATATTCTATGTGAAATGTATTTGCACGCGAAGAATATGTTAGATGAGCTAATAATTTACCAATACATAAC